GAGTGTGCGGCAGAAAATTAAATTAAGATGTAGAGCGTTCCTGGGTGGCTTCATTAAATTGAGTGGTCATGGAAGTCTTCCCTGAGGGGTTGTGATCTGAATTCAAGGAAGGAGACATCCAGAGAGCACTATGGACAAGGAATCAGCCCACTCCAGAGCCTAGCAGTACAACTCCATGTGTTCCAGGATAGAAAGGCAGCCAGCATGATGCAAGTGAAGTGAATGTAGGGAAAGAAACAAGAAAGGGGATGAGAGAGGAAGTTGAGCCAGATGACACAGGGCTTCTGAAGAAGAATGAGGGTTTGGATTTTAAGTTCGGCTGAAGCCACTGGACTGTTGACAGTGAATGAGTGGCATATTTGATTTACAGGTTTTTAAAAAAGATTATGCTAAGTGCACTGTGAAGGCCTGACTCCTGAGTAGCTGGAATAGACAGGAAGTCTGGAAAGGAGGCTCCAGCATCAGCAAAAGACCCCAGAGCCTTAGGCTGAATGGGAGCAGAAGTGATGGATGTCTTCTGGAGAGTGTGGGAGGATGTGTGAAAGGGGTCTTCTTGGAGTGGGGCATGGATTGATGATTACACTCATTTTGGAGATATGCAGTGTAGAAGTGCATTCAGCAAGGGAACCATGTGCAGTCATAGCAGTCACATGTTCCCTCGCCAAGCAGTCATTCCCCTGCGGCATCCTGTTCCCAAGCTTCCGAGCGAGCATCACTGATGATTCATCAAGACAGTAGCTGGCACCCAAATGGTGTTGTACCAGTCTGGGAGAGATTCTCCCGGGGGCCTTGCCAAAGGGGAAACTAGATCCTACCTGCCACCCCCGGCCTCCTGGCCCAACAAAGCAGCCCTACTTAATTAATCACCCGAGCATTCATTTAACAATCCGTCGCCAGTCCTTTCACAGGGTGCCGGGTGTCATCACTTTGACCCGGATATAGTTAAATCTGGAACAGGAAAGTGCCCTGTGCAGGTCATCTTCCTTCATATGGGAGCAGGGATGAGATTGGGAATAGAACTCTTCCACTTACGTTTTGGTCCTGACAGTTTCCTCTGATGTCACCTGCAATTCCATCTCCTTATTCTTGCCTCCACATTTGTCTTTTCCATTCTTGCTGCCTCTTGCTGCTCACTACACCCATGCCTGACCACCTCAGGATGCTACTGCTGTTCGTCCCATATAACCAGTGGGCACCTGTCTGTGCTCAGTTACAGATGCCTGCAACCTCAACCTGGGTGGAAACTAAGGCCATGGGGCCTTTTTCTCCTACTTGATGGTAAATCTCTGTAATCTGAGTGACTGGTTGTTCTGCTATGGCCATGAAGTATCTGTCACAAGAGGCTTACTCTCCTCATTCTTCAAAAGATCAAGCCCCAGAGATGAGCTCCCACAGGGTAGGGATTTGTTGGTCTCAGAGAAGGGATGGTGTTGACATGTGTCTTTGACATACAGGGATCTACAGGTCAAGGGCTCATTTCTGGGTTAATACCCCAAGCTCCCAGTTTTGCTCTCTTTGCTGAGCAGGGATAGGAGAAATGCAGCTTTTCAGACTCAGTGTTCCTGAATTCGCACCCTTCCTAGTTTCTAACTAAACCAACTTCACAGTCAGCAGATAGCAGCTGCCCTGGGCTTCTGGACTCCTATGGCAGTGTCTAGCCTAGTTGGAAAGGACTCTAACTTGAGAAGAGACTACCTCCCATGCCTTAAAGTGTCATCTTCCCCCAAAAGACCACCATTCAAGGGATCAGCACTTAGTGGTTTTGTTCTCCAGCCTCTCCATTGGCATCTGGCCCTATAGTACCCACAATGTGTATGGACAGCACTTCCCTCCTCAGCCTCTTTCAGGAGGACTCAGCTTTACCTAGGGACTCAAGTGACAGGGAGGATGAGGCTACATAATCTGTGGATGGGGTGGTGTTGCTCCAACCAAGATAGAGCCCCAGTCAGCAAGAGACAGCACTAAGAACAGCAGCATCCCTGAAGATCTCCTTGATACTAACCCTTTATCATAAAGTATGCTTTTGTCATTCAATAAATAAACTACCTGTTCTAGAAAAGCAGATTTATCTGAGTCCCTCAGTAATGAGCACTTGGGTGGTAATAACTGAGACCCCGTTACAGCCCTGCCCTCACTCTTGCTGTATAAGGTTTGGAGAAACAGTCCTAAGAAGGCAGAGGAAAAGAAATCATGAGAGATCTTGGCCAATACATTCATCCCTAGTACCATGAAATACTAGACTGGGAAAGAACTCTAAAGTTCATGTATTCTGCTAGTTCTTAATTCCAATTACACATTAAGATCACCTTCACATTGTCAGAGTCCAGCAGGTCAAAGCTGGGGTGGCCATGAGTGTGCCACTGCTCTCCAGCCTGGCCGATAGAGTGAGACTCCAACTCAAAAGAAAGAAAGAAAGAAAATATGTCAATTTTAAAAAAAAATCATCTTCAGAAGTTCTGCTTGGATTAGTCCAGGGTGGGGTCTCCACATGTGTATTTGTTTTTAAGAGCTCTCCAGGTGTTTAAATGTGCAGTGATTGGTCAGGTGTGGTGGTTTTCACCTGTAATCCCAACACTTTGGGAGGAAAAGCAGGTGGATTGATTGAGCCCAGGGCCAGGGCAACATAGCAAAACCTTGTCTATATAAAAAACTCAAAAAATTAGCTGGGTGTGGTGGTTTGTGCATGTTGTGCCAGCTACTTGGGAGGCTGAGGTGGAAGGATCACCTGAGCCCAGAAGGTCAAGACTGATTATTGTGAGCCATGATTATTGTGATCATGACACTGCACTCCAGCCTGGGTGACAGAGTGAGAAATCCCCCAACACTTAAAAAAATTAAAATAAAATGTGCAGTGGTTGAGAACCACTACTGGGCAAAGATTCCTAATCAAGCCCAGGGGCTTTTAGGATGTCTTCCCCAGAGCCCTAGATTCCTGGGAGATGCCTCAGCAGTCTGCCCCACACCTCATCCTGGGAGGGTGCCCACCAAAGTCTTAGGTGAGAGGGATGTACCTGGGAAGTATCCCAATGACCCCACTGCAGTCATAGCCATTGGGCAACACTGTCACTCAATTCTGGCCCCTTACTGTCTGATACAGGTGTGTGTCCTGGTTGGAAAAGATAAACTGGCCAACCACATTATCTCTCTCTTTCTTTGTAGCTGACTTAAGCAGCCCAGAGGGAAGTTGTCCATGAGTTGAAAGGTCCCAAGACTCAGCACCTGAGCAGGATCTGAGCCTTGTGTCCAGCCTGAAGAGGAGAGAACAGAAAACTGTGTAGGATCCACAAACACTATGAAAGAGGTGGAGATGAAAGGGAGTCTGCCCCCAGGGCTCCCCAGATTCCTGCTCTGCCCTGGGCCTGTTTGCTCAGCTTTCCTCTGATTCCTGGGAGACCTCTCTAGAGCCTTAGGAAAGCCTTGTTTTACCAGAGCCGGTATTTGTACACCCAAAAGAGTCTTAGAGAGAACACTCACTACAAACAGAGCTGCTGCACTTTTATCTTTTTACATTTTGGGGGTCCACATGACATTTGGATTGCAAAGGGGAAATCAAAAATGTTCCATTGCTAAAATATTATGTGGAAGTCATCGAGCCTGTTTGACTCCTTATCTCACTTGAAGGGGACGTTAAGGCATAGAGAAAGTAAATGTGGCAGTTTTTATAGCCTCTGACTCTGCAAGAGACCAGAAGTATGTGGGAACCACTAGAAAGAGTCACTATGTCTCCCCCCTCCCCCAGTCTCTGCCATAACTGCAGGTGTGGGACTCACAGAAGAGGCAGCACTGGCATGGGACATCTTGACTCTCTGATGGCAGAAAGTTTGATAGCCTGGGTGAAAGCTCCTTGGATAACCCCAGCTTGTCTTTGGCACAGACTGGCTGTGCTTCAAGAGCATAATGCACTTAAGGTCCCAAGAAGAATTCTCCAAGTCTCTCCTCCACCCCAACACATAGTTCACTGGCCCCTAGAGATCTCTCTGAATACCTAGAGCAAAAAGTCCCTTTTCCCAGCCTGACCTATAGATAAAAAGCCAGCTTGGTCCACTCCTCCATCTCCAGCTTCTGTTCAGAACCCCAGAGCCTGGTGGGTTCAAAAATGGACCTGCATTGGGCGTTTGCAAGGGGTACCTAAAGCCTGACATCATTTCCATGAGTAGGACTCACTTTTCTTTCTTTCCATAAACATTTCTAACTCCCTCTGTCTAAGCTCAGTTCTCCTTCTATGAGCCCCACAAAATCCATCCATTCACTTTGATCTGAGGAATAGACTTTGATGGACTTAACCCAACGATCAATATTAGTTTTGGACTGAGATTCAAAGCGGGAGACCAAAAAGCACGTTAGCTCTCAAGGGAAAATAATAGCCAAAAGAATTATAGATTAACTCACTTCCCATTGACTAGAACCTATTCCCACATAGCCATGCAGTTCTCCTTACATGCCATCCCTGTATAAGGACACTGGGTTGGTCTCATGGCCATCCATGACAGTATGGTAGTAGAGTAGAGACAGAAGAGAAGTAGTAGAGACAGAAGAGAGGGTTTAGCCACGTCTCATCATTGCCTTCTTTGAAAGAGGTGAAGCTTTAGCACCTATAAGTCAAGAGTGAAGACAGGCTTTGAAGAAAAACTGCCCAGAGAGCACCTCCCTCCTGCTTCCCACCCCAAAGCCCAGGGCCCTCATGTATAAAATATCCGAGCACATTCTGGGCTCATGCTTTCTCCAGGTCTGACATCTCCATCTGTGTAACCACAAGTTTCATAACCATTTCCATAAGTCAGATCCCCTGAGGGGAAGAGGACCAAGTCTTATTTTCCTTTGCATCCCCAACAGCTGGCACAACGGCAGTAGCTAAGAGAAGTGTTTGCGAATCAGTGGACAGGTGAATGAGAAGAGCCTTGTTAAGTCACAGTCCCCTCGGCCATGCCTTCCAGCCATCCTCCCAGGATTCTGGTCACCAAGACCTGGCCACACCCCCCCACCCCAGCCTGCAGTCTTACCTCCCATGAGGAAGAGCAGCCCTGCCACATACTGCATAAGGCCTCGGTCCCAGCAGCAGCCCAGCACGCCGATGATCCAGCCAAAGAGGATGATGGCCACCGCCATGCCCATGAAGCCGGCCGTCATTCTACGCAGGTCTGTGGGGAAGCAGGCAGACAACAGTCAGCATCAGTCTGGGACCAGCCCTGGGGTGGGACAGGAAAGGGTGGGGGCCTGCAGGGGCCAGAGGGCAACCTGTCCCTTTCAGACAGAAGCACTCAACTGAGTATGCTTTGCAGAGGAGAGAGCCCATGGTGACTCTGTCCTCATGTGTGAGAACATGCCATGACAGTTTGGTTCCTAAGCACAGAAAGAAATCATCGCAATATAGTGGCCATTTCTCCACACCTCCTTTGTGCTAAGGCACAGTGCTGGCCTTCCCACACATCCATCTCAACCTTCTGAGACAGGTGTCTTTATTACTATGTGCAAAATGCAGCAACTTGCTAAAAGGCATACAACTAGGAAGTGGCAGAACAGGGACTCGAACTCAAGCCTGGATGACTCTGGGTCCCAATCAAAGCATCATTCAGGATCTGAAAGCAGGTAAGAACCAGAAAAATGGGCTGTTGGAGCTAGGCAGGGTCTGGACAGTCAGGTTGCTCCTGCCAAGGCCTCCCTCTCTTCTCTCCAGGGTTTTACTGGTCTCTCTAAAAGGTTGTACATGAGGAGAAGCTGCCAGCTTAGGGGTTTTGGTGTTCTGTTCCTGCTCCCTGTCTGAACCCTGGGGCAAGCCCCCTTTCTTTCTTTTTTTTTTTTTTTTTTTGAGTTGGAGTCTCACTCTGTCGCCCAGACTGGAGTGCAGTGGCCGCTCCCGGCCACCGCAGCCTCGACCTGCTGGGCTCCGGCGATCCTCCCCCTCAGCCTTCCGAGTAGCTGGAATTACAGGCATGCGCTACCACGCCCAGCTAATTTTTGATTTTAGTTAGAGATGAGGTCTCGCCTGCCCAGGCGGGTCTCGAACCCGCGGGCTCAGGCAATTCACTCACCTCAGCCTCCCAAAGGCGCGGGATTACAGGCTGAGCCACCGAGCCCGGCTCCCCCTTTCTTACGCTTGCCTTGGTCCCTCCACCTCCAGGTCAGCCCAGCTTCCCGAGTCAAAGCCCCTCCCTGCTCCACACCTGGCTGACCCATCGACTCCTGGAGGAAGAAGGTTGACTAGAAAGGCAGTATTTTTAGTAGAAAGGAGAAGGCAGAGCTGCTGTCAAGGCTCAGTTGACCACTCAGTGTCTGGCTCAGCTCAGCTTCCTTCCCAGTTCCCACCCCTGCTCTCCTACACCCACCTGAAGACAGCCAGAGCCACTCCTCCATCCTCCCTCCATGTGCCCACCAAGCCTCAGTCCCTCTCAGCTCCCAGCATGCTTTCCTCAACCCACACTCCCTCTCTAGAACTTGGTCTTCTCAATCTCTGGTCATGCCACCCACTTTTTCCACCCTGCCCCAACACCTACCACATCCCCTTGGGTCTCCCTTCATCTGAGCCTGCACAGACCCAGCCCTGCCAATAGGACTTCACATAGAAGCAAAGCCAATTGTACAGCCTCTGCTTTAGAATACGTGCTCCCTCCACCGGCTAGGATCCCTTGGGCATCCCTTTGTCTCAAAGGGAGGGCTGGAGCAGGAGAGTGGAGGGGAGGGTGCCTGAAAGCAAACCACATCAACGCCCCATGCAAGCATACCAGCTATCGCCTGTACAATTTCTTCTCACCCTGAAGAAAGACATAGCCTGCAGGATTCTGTGGGGAACCTGTCCCAAGCCCTCCACTCCTTTCTCACTCCAGTCATATCTAGAGGAAACCACGGCAGAGTGAATAAAAGGATCTTGAGACTTGGTTTGACACTCTGTAGAGGGATCTGGCCCATCCTTCTTGTCCTGACATTGACCACTAGACACTGGCAGCCCCCCGGCCCAGGGAGTGGGGAGGGACAGGAGACGAACAACAGCTGACCCTTCCCTCTGGCTAAGCCTGCAAAGGAAGCAGGATAGGGCCCTCATCACAGGCAGAGATCCTTGGAGAGTCAGAGGGCAAGCGAAGGCCTCCCTCATCTTCCCCCAGCTGATTCAGGATGCCTGTCCCAGCCAGGAAGAAGTAATACCCACTGTAGTAACTTATGGGAACTGCTAAGGGTGCCTGATTATCATGCAGCACTGTTCTGATTGCTCATGTTGCCAAATGTGTCAGATGAAACTGTTGAAAGTGTTGTTTGATCACAATAAGAGCATGTGAGCCAAAGCTTTCTGCGCAGGGCAGTCACAGCCAGCCGGAAACTGGGAGAGAAGGCAAGGAGGATTTCTGCCACTTCTTATTGAACCACCTGTGCCAACTTCTCCTTCCATCATCCAAATGCTCTCTCCAGCCCTCTACAAGGGCCCCTGCTTTCTCCACCACCACAAGGGACTCTTGAGTGACTGGGGCCTGAGCTGCCTCCTCAGTGAAGAAAAGTTCCCACTTGACATATGAGTCCATTTGGGAGATGGGAAACTCTTTGCTACTGACACTTCTACTCTCTACTGTCTTCAAGGGCAAGGAGGTGGTAGGAAGGGGAGGTGATGGGAAAGAGGTGACTGCTTCTTTTCAACATGAAGTTTTCCCTTTTAAAAGATTTATACCCCTTACACAGAAGGTAGAATTTCAGGTCTTAAGTTTAAGTCTTTAATTCATTTTGAGTTGATTTGTGTATATTAAAGAGACAGAGGTCTAGTTTCATTCTTCTGCATGTGAATATCCAGTTTTCCCAGCACCATTTATTGAAAAAGGTATCTTTTCCCCAATGTATGTTCTTGGTGCCTTTGTAAAAAACAGTAGCTGTAAACACGTTCATATATTTGTGGGCTGTCTATTCCTTTCCATTGGTCTTTGTGTCTGTTTTTATAGCAATACTCTGCTAAGTGTCTTTCAATGAATGAATATAGATAATGTGGTATATATACACAATGGAATACTATTTGACCATGAAAAGGAATGAAATCCTGTCATGTGCAACAACATGGATGGAACTTCCAGCCAATGTTAAGTGAAATAAGCCAGGCACAGAAAGACAAATATCACATGTTCTTACTCATATGTAGGAGCTGAAAAATTTTGATCTCATGGAGATAGTAGAATAATAGATACCAGAGGCTGGGAAGTTTGTGTGAGTTGGGGTGGGGATGAAGAAAGGTTGTTTAATGGCTACAAACATACTGCTAGATAGAAGAAAGTTCTAATGTTCAATAGCAGAATAGGTTGACTGTAGTTAACAACAACGTATTATATATTTCAAAAAAAGCTAGAAGAGCGATTTGAAGTGTTCCCAACACAAATGATAAATACTCGAGGTGGTGGATATTCTAAATATCCTGACTTGATCATTACACATTCTATGCATGCAACAAAATATCACATGTGCTCCATAAAAATACACAAATATTATGTATTAGTAAAAACAAACAGGAGGTATACAGGGTCAGCACATTCCTCTTCTGGGCACGTCCCTTTTTGGTGCATGGAGGTTTCTTTCTAGGGTAAGGGTAAATATTGTCTGCTTTGGCAGCACCAGACAGGACACACCAGCGATGTCCCTCACTGCAGTTGGCCTGACTCTCACCTGACCTTGCTCATTGGAAGGCCTATGCTGCTGATCAGGCTCTGCAGACCCAAGGGAGAGAAGGTACTCTCTGGAGGACTGAGTGGATAATGGGTTACACGAGGCATGTCCACCTTGGCCAGGAATGAGGAAGAGGCAGGAGGGAGCAGGCAAACAAAAACAAATCAGAATGAGAGGGAAAGTGGTAGTTGTTGGAGATTGCAAGCAAAGTGTTTTACTTAGAAGAAAACAGAGGAAAAGACAGAACAGCAGGGAGATGGAAAGGATGATTCCTCTTCCAGAAGTTCTGAGACAGATACTTGTCATCCATGTCCTAGGCCGGGAAAGGGCTGTTGACCTCTAACACAGATTAGGTTTAGAGGTCCCTAACACTTTGCCTTCTCCCAAAGGACTTTGTCCACAGAAGCCGAGGGTTGTGCTAAGTTGTTGATCTGGAAACAAGGATGAAAGCCACAGGTCATGCCTGTGTATTTCCACTGACCAGGAAAGATTTCTACATCACCCTGAAAACTTATTTTGCCAGAGTTGTGCATGAGCAGCTGTTTATTTTGTCCACAGACCTATGTAGTAACTCAGAGAAGCTGCAACTACAATTTATAAGGTAGGTAGGACAAGAACTATTCCTATTTTACAGATAAGGAAAACAAGATCCAAAGAAGTTAAGTAATTTATTGATAAACAGTCTCAAAACTAGTGAACTACAAGGAGAGTGAGTTGCATTACTGATCATGTGAGAAAATAGTGTAATTAAAGATGTAGTGGGAAAAAAAAGATGTAGTGGGTTAAAATGGTGATTGAACAAATATATCTAGCATTTCTTCCTTCCAAACCAAGCCAGAACTATAAAGAGATTTTTTTAAAGACAGAAATCTACCAAGATGGAGAAATAGGAAAGGATACAGGGTGATAACAACAAGACTGCAAGTTACAGGACTGATGGACAGTGTAATTGACCAAGTGGATCTAAGCGCTATATCTCCTGCTGGTATCCGGGAAGCTGAAAACCAACTTGGAGAATCCTCAAAAGTCTCATGAACTGGCACCAGCTGATCCCCTTGCACCAGGTAGTTAAGTAGAGGGGAGGGAGACAAAACAAGGATTTGATGAAAGTTATTTTAATAAGGAGTTAGTTCCCTAGATCCCCTCGCACTCCACACCTAGGGGCAAGATGGGAAGAGGGCATAGAACACAGTACTTAGGAATGGGGATCAACAAACTCAGGTGAAGCCTGGACAGAAAAGGTGAGGGCCAGGGCATTGTTCTGGAGTTCACTACAATACCCTGACAGGGTGATTGACCATGTACATACTGGATGTTGAGTCTTATTGTTGACCTCAACTATCATCTACATGGCTCCCAGAAGCTAGCTATTAAGCTACTGCCCTCCAGCATGGAGACTGGGAGAGGACTTTTCAGGGATGACCAGCACAGAGGAAAGCCCTGGAGACACTGCCACCATGAGGGCCCCATAAATGGCCCCCGGCCACTCTACAATGAAGACAGAGCCTGT